AAGTAATGATTCTATATGGTTAATAATTATAATATATTCTGTATCACATAGTTTCCTTATTTATGTAAAATAAGCCCTTAAAAATTAATAATCATTTTCTATGTGCTTAAACATTACTTTCCTAACAAAGAGGAGGAAAAATGCTAGTTTCTGCTTTATAACAGAATCATGTAGTAATGTAGAACTTCAGTCTTTAGAAATAGAATGTTTCTTAGAGATTGTATAATTATTTATATGTCATCAGTGGATAATTTGTTAGCCCCCTAGTATTGAGCATATTGCTTGTGTCTCTCATTTTGTAGTTCCTAATGTAATGTTCTCTTTTTAGAAAAGGTGGACAAGTTCTAATTTCAAGAGAAGATGACTTTTAACAGTTTTGAAGGCTCTAAAACTTTTGCACCTGCAGACATCAATAACGATGAAGACTTTGTAGAAGAGTTCAATAGATTAAAAACTTTTGCTAATTTTCCAAGTAGTAGTCCTGTTTCAGCATCAACTCTAGCGCGAGCTGGTTTTCTGTACATTGGTGAAGGAGACACCGTGCGGTGCTTTAGTTGTCATGCAGCAGTAGATAGGTGGCAATATGGAGACTCAGCGGTTGGAAGACACAGGAAAGCATCCCCAAATTGCAGATTTATCAATGGCTTTTATTTTGAAAATAATGCTGCACAACCTACAAATCCAGGTGTCCAAAATGATCAGTACAAAGTTGAAAACCATCCAGGAAACAGAAATCATTTTGTTTTGGACAGGCCATCTGAGACTCATGCAGACTATCTTTTGAGAACTGGACAAGTTGTAGATATATCAGATGCCATATACCCAGGGAACCCTGAAATGTGTAGTGAAGAAGCTAGATTAAAGTCATTTCAAAACTGGCCAGACTATGCCCACTTAACCCCAAGAGAGTTAGCTAGTGCTGGACTCTACTATACGGGTATAGATGATCAAGTACAGTGCTTTTGTTGTGGTGGAAAACTGAAAAATTGGGAACCTTGTGATCGTGCATGGTCAGAACACAAGCGACACTTTCCTAATTGCTTCTTTGTTTTGGGCCGGAATGTTAATACTCGAAGTGAATCTGATGTCTTGAGTTCTGATAGGAATTTCCCAAATTCAACAAATCCTCCAAGAAATCCAGCCATGGCAGATTATGAAGCACGGATCATGACTTTTGGGACATGGATATACTCAGTTAACAAGGAGCAGCTTGCAAGAGCTGGATTTTATGCTTTAGGTAAACTTTATTATAAAATCAGGATACTAAATAACTTTCCAACTATTTCCAGGGCTCCTAAAAAGTAAATAGATGTCTTTAGTCCCCTGAGCTGGTAAATATTTAAGTATTACCTAGCATGATAACTTATATCAGTTTAATTCTGTGAATCCTTATGTAACCACTGAATTTATATGAAAAGAACTACCATATTGTAAGTCACATTTATAATTGTTTTTAGGAGAGGGGTGACATGCAGAAGATGGTAGACATGCCCAATAGAAGAATGGGTCTAATAGTAATACCAGCTATCATTTATTGAACAGCTACTATGTGCTGTTATATATATTACGTACATTTTCCTTATAAGAAGAGTTAACATTAGAGAATTCAGTTTGACCAACATTAAAATTGGTGTCTACCATAAGTACATAGAACTATATATTTGAAAGCAGCCCTGTATTATGTTTCATTGCTTTAGATGAGTGTTTTTCAGATAGATTATTGTGAACATGTCAGGAAGGGCCTGATGGCTTCCAGGGGTATCTAAACAAATTATACTATAATATATCTGACTCATTTAAATACTTTTAGGATCAAACAGTGCCAAAACAAAATATCAGTTATTTCAATATTTTATTTGTACAACATTATATAGCAATCTTGATATTTTGTTTAGTGTCATGTAGCTATAATCTTAGAGGAACTAGTAATTTCATTATGCTGAACTTTATTGGTATTAATATTTGGAACATACTTACTTTAAAGCTTTGTAGTTCAAAAAAGCATGTATAGTATTAATTGCCCAAATGACCTGTGTTTAAAAAATGTAACAATAGTAATTCTTAACATAAAAGTTGGCAGCTTGATTTGTATTTGTCTTCTTTAATATACCTCAAGAATAAATCAGTGAATTTAGTTATCTTTACTCCTGAAATAATAAAAATTGTATCTATTATTTATATGTGAATTTGAATGTCATTTCTTAAGCCATAAGGTTGTCATGTAATTTAGAAATGCTTAATTTTTAGGTGTTAAGATGGATATTTTTGCGTTGGCTTTTAATTGCACAAATACTTATATTTTTGCTTGTTTTCGTAGGTGAGGGTGATAAAGTGAAGTGCTTTCATTGTGGAGGAGGGCTAACTGATTGGAAGCCCAGTGAAGATCCTTGGGAGCAACATGCTAAGTGGTATCCAGGGTAAGGTATTTAAAATGTTTATTTAAGGCAAGTTGAACAGTATGCAGTAGGAAGACTTGAATTACTTTTTACCTCAACAATTTCTGTCTTCACTATAGCTTGAAATTCACACCAGTTTATAAAAATGGGGTCACCTACTTTATGTTGTTTGGTGTGCCATCGAGTTGGACCCGACTCATAGCTACCCCTCCTTGGGTTTCCGAGGCAGTATCACTACGGAAGTAGATTGCCCAGCTTTCCTTCTGAGGAGTGGCTGGTTGGTTTGAACCACCAGCCTTCTGGTTAGTAGTCAAGTGCCTTAGGCACTATGCTACTAGAGTGCCTACTTTCTTTATAGGGGGGGGGGGGAACAAAAACACCTAAGCCTTCTCTGGTGACCAAAACATTCACCACTTGTATATCATAGCTGTGCTGTTCAGGTTATTCCGTTTCTAAACACCAAATTAAGAAATGTATGGTTTTGTTGTTGGAAGGAGGCTCTTTTGTGATGTGATGGGCATGGAATAACCCATGTTTTCAAGGAGATTCATTATGAACCCTTTACACACTGTCGGAAACATCATTGTATCTAGTTTACATTTTAAAATCTCTGAAATCAAGACAAATCTTACTCTTGATGGTGTGTCTTAATTTAATTGGCAGTGATTTGAGATGATACATAAAATAATCATGCTGCTTAAAATCAGTGAAATCTTAGAATGAGGACATACCCTAAATGTCCCTTTGCCATCTTCTTTAAAATAAAGTACAGCTTAAAACTTCAGAGTGATCATTTGAAAATAAATCTTAGCCTTAAAAGGAAAGGTTGAAAAGCCTAAAGAATTACTTTTAAATGTACAGTTTGTTAATACTCTAAATAAAATCTGTTAAGAATGTAAACGATTTAAACTTTTTGAAAATATCAAGGTACAAAGTTAATAACTTTTGCTCAGAAGTTGAAAGATCCCAACTTGGTATTTATTGCTCTCAAGTTTAGCATCTTTTTTTTTTTATTGTGCTTGGAATGCAAATTTACAAAGCAGTTTTGTTTTACATTCAAGAGTTCATGGACGTTTGACTTCCTGGCCCCAAGTTTAACATCTTTTTAATTGTTTAGGTGTAAATACCTGTTAGAAGAGAAGGGACATGAATATATAAACAATATTCATTTAACCCATTCACTTGAGGAGTCTCTGGTAAGTCACATATTATAAAATATTATAAAACTTGTTTTACAATTATTTCTTCATATGAAGTTCACAATTTAGTATTTTAAATTAATGTACAGTGAGCTTTTAAAGGGAGAAGAGTGCTTGTTATTAACCTGAAGCATATTTTTAAAAAGGAGATCAGGAAGAACTGATATAAGTTTTACTGTAGGCAAATACAGGAGCTCTGATGGTGTAGTGATTAAGGCATTTGGCTGCTAACGGAAAGTTGATGGTTTGGACCTACCAGCTGCTCTGCTGGAGAAAGATGAGGCAGTCTGCTACCATAGAGATTTACAGCCTTAGAAACCCTATGGGGGTTGCCCTAAGTCGGACCTCAACTCAATGGCAGTGGGTTTTGTTAGGCAAATATAGGGACTTGAACATGGGTACATTATTGGATGAATAACTCACTGCCAAGGAGCTCTAGTGGCATAGTGATTAAAGCATTTGGCTGTAAACCAAAAGGTCAGCAGTTCAAACCCACCAGCTGCTCTGTGGGAAAAAGGTGAGGCAGTCTGCTTCAGTAAAGATGTACAGCCTTGGAAGCCCTGTGGGGCACTTCTGCTCTGTCCTATAGGGTCACTATGAGTTAGAATTGACTCAATGGGTGGGGTTTTTTTTTGGTTGGATAAATAACAAAGGCAAAATCTAACTGGGTAATTTGTTAGAAATTATTACTATTAAAATAGTTAACATGGTTCATGTTGTATCTAAAATCGTTCTTACATTGTAAAAACAGTATTGTAACATGTCCACAAAACACTTAATAGGGACTTGGAAAGATTATCATACGAAAAAAACATTAGAAATGAGACATTTCAGAAAAGATTTTTAGTCAATGTTATGTGAAACTAATATATTTAAAAATGAAAAAGTATAGACTTGAAGAACTGAAATACTTAGTCCTTTCTTCTGCTTGTGTGGCATTGAATTGATTCTGACTCATAGCAACCCTGTAGAACAGAGTAGAACTACCCCATAGGGTATCCTAAGCTGTAACCTTTATGAGAGCAGATCACCAGGTCTTTTTTTCCTGCAGAGCCACTGTGGGTTTGAACTGCAAATCTTTTGGTTAGCAGCTGAATGCTTAGCATTGTACCACCAGGGCTTCTTAGTTATGAAATTAGAATTATGCATAATGTGTTTTGTACTCATAAATAGTTTTAAACTTTTTTCAGGCAGTTTTTTAAATCTCAAAAAATGAATCTAAGTTGATAGTATGAACTGGAAGTGTCCATGGCGTTAGTGTCGTGTAGAAAGAGCCCTGGACTGAGTTGTTAATTACAGTTCTGCCTTTAACTCTATCAGCTTGATCAAGTCATTTAATCTGGGCCTGGGCCTCAGCTTTTTGTCTGTAAAGTGAGGGAGATTGGATTAGACGATCTTTTAATGTCCTTCTATCTCTATCAGGCTATGACTTTTGTGAGTATTGATATGCTGAATTGGAATTAAGCTAATTTATAATTTGCTATTAATGTAATTTTTCAAATTGAAGTAATTGCCTTCTTTAAAAAAGAATTCTAACTCAATTCATATTTCTATTTTAGGCAAGAATTGCTGAAAAAACACCATCACTAACTCAAAGAATTGGTAAATATCCTTAGTACAATAAATATACTTTTAATTTATCTACCACTTTATTATAGCTGTTTATGGAAGGGAAAGGAAAGGAAAGCCAAGGCATCAAAGAGAGATTGAACAAGCAGCAGAGGGATCCAGGTCAGGGGAGGGACCCAGATCCCAACCCCCAAGTGGCAGGAAAGGTGGAAGGGAAAGGAAAGCCAGGGTGTCCAGGAGAGAGTGAGCAAATGGCACAGGGATCCAAGTAAGGGGAGAGTGGAGAGGTTTTGAACAACTAAGGGAGACAAACCTGTCCATCAGCTTGTCGTGCTGTGGTGCTGTGTTGCTATGAGGCCTGAGGCTGTGCTACCAGTGTTTCAGACACCAACGGGGTTGCATGTGGTACACAGGTTTCGGCACAGCTTGCAGACTGAGGCAGACTAGGACGAAGGAGGAGGCCATTTCCTTCTCAAAGAATTGGCCAGGGAAAACCTTATGAATAGCAGAGAAACACTGTCCATTACAATACTAGGCAGCTATATGAATAGCCTGGAAATACTGTCCGATACAGTATAGGAGGATGAGCCACTTAGGTTGGTAGCTGTCAAAATACAACTGGAAAAGAGTACCATCATAAGAATAGAACCAACGTTTCTGATATGGATAAAGTAAAGCTTTTGAGACCTCCATTTGCTGATGTGACATGACTCAGATTGAGGAGAAACAGCTGCAAACATCCATTAATAATCAGAACATGGAATGTATGAAGTATGACTCAAGGAAAATTGGAAGTTGTCAGTGATTAAATGGAACGCATAAAGGTTGATATCCTAGACATTAGTGAGTTGAAGTAGACTGGTTTTGGACATTTTGAATCAGACAACCATATGATCTACTATGCTGAGAATGATAATTCGAAGAAGAATGGCATGGCATTCATCATCACAAA